AACTACATTTTCCATTAAAATTATGATTTTATTTTGCATACATGATTCGGAATGTATGTGTAACAGATGACGACAATTACATTTAGAGATAGATTTAGGAACCTAAATCATTAATTTCGTTTCACAAAATTAACTTGATTTAAAATGATAAAAAATAACGAGAGAGAAAATATTTTGCACTTATTCAACAGATTAGGGCTTGCATTCATTATAAATGACCTTGTACTCATTCTAAAATAGCCGCAGGAATTCTCTGAGGGGAATGCAATTTATTTAAAATTTTGCATTTAAAGAATTGTCAAGAAACCCCCTCCCAATATAGTGAATTGCAGAATTTCTTAATAAATCCACAGGCGCGTTCATTCAAGCAAGGAACAGTTGCCCCAGGTAAAGGACCTGGGGCAGCAGGGGAGCGAGTGCGAACTACCACCGCCTACGAACTGTCCACAGCACCAGAACAGAGGCAATCTGTTGCAGGAAAAGATGGAGCGACCACAGGCGGCAGGTTGCCGGACGGCCGCGGACGGGTTTTCCACAAAATGAAGATACCTATTTTGTGTGACCTAGATTGCGATGCGCGGTCGCGCACTTCTGCTTCTTTAAGTAAATGTTTATTGCTGAGACTTACTAATCTAACGCAAGGATTTTGCAGTTAGTCCTGGCTCATGATGATCGTGCTTATAGTGTTTAGCTCTGATATGGTGGTTAGCTCTGGCTTATCTGGATGATCTTTGGGCTCGCGTTTTAAATTGTTGCAATTTATATTGCAGAACATTGGGAGGATAAATATGGAAAACGCTAACGCCAGAATAGAGAGTTCGGGAATTGGAGATAGAGGGAAGAAGGAATATTATGCGTACAAACCACATGAGATTTTTTTAAATGTGAATTAATGTGAATTTTCATTAAGATAACGTGTTATATTTTTATCTTAGCTTTTGTTTACATATTTTTTGAGTTAATTAACATTTTACATGGGCGTAAATTCAATATATATTTAACATTTCTTTAATCTTTTTTCATGCCACAGAATTCGCATTTATCATGCAAAGATTATCTGTGACCACATCACAGTCGTTGCAAAATATTCATTAACTTATTTTGCTAACTTATTTTGAAAACTACGAAACGATGATTATGAATTCTTTCATAGTAGCCCTGATGTTCTACAACGACAGCTGTCCATCTTTTATAAAATAATGCTTATTTAATACATAATATTTATTCTATTTTTGTATGAAAAGGTGATTTAAAACAATACGTGCTAAAGACTCAGGAAGTTTTTCACAATATTTTATTTTCAAAAATTAATTTTACACAACTTTTTTGAGATTTTATTTACTTACAATTGGAAATATACAGCATATTTCTAATTTTGAGAATATAGTATATCATACTACTCTTCTCAAATAAGTCATTTCCATTGATAATTACTTGTTTCTTACGTTTTGATTTAATGTCCTTGTTTACTCGAGTTTTCACTATTTAAATAAATATCTTAATTATATTGTCTTTTAAAACATGTTTATCTCACAGATTGCCATTTAATACTAAAGTCCTTCCTAAATAAAAAAATCCTTCTTTTATATATTCAGTGTCTTATTGTCTTCATTAGCTCTCTTATTTCATATACAAATATTGAAACATATCAAATTCTTTTTTAACTCCTTTTTCACTTTCCAAAGTAAAATCTTCAGTAAATTGTTTTCTATCTATACATTTTTCTCGAAATGAATTGTTTATTAATCCACATTTGTAATATTCTTCTTCCTGTAAACGAAACATCTATTCTACATCTTCATAAACTTATTAAATTAATACTTGGCCATAAGCTTATAATAATGTGAAAAAGTATCACTTCCAATAGAATCACCCATTCCAGCACCCCCCCATTTTTAAAATTTTAATTATATTTTAAATAAAGAAGGTGATGTTCTCCACCCGTGTCTAAAACCTTCTGCAATGAATTATGTTATCTAAACATTTTTTTAAATAAATAAACTTGGAATATTGAGTTATTGTGAGATGTATCATTTTTAAGAAAGGAAAAGGTATTTACAATGTGCCAGAGATACACAATACAACTTTTTCAAAGAAAACTGCTTTTCACAGTGTTTGCAAATACCAACGACATTCGTTAGTTTTACGAAGTGATACACATCCTAGACTTTAACACCAACACGTGCACGGCCTCCGTATTTAGAGTAAGCCCAAGAGGGGGGTCCTGCTTCGCACCACCATATCACACACAAACAATTGACTATGGAGACTAAGGATCATCCAAAGTTGAGTGTCCAGACGATGCGATGAGAAGGTAGATTCCTTAAGTGTATCGGTAACTTTTGCTGAAGAATTACATTATAATTTATGAGCACTTCCTAGTCCTCAGTCCGTATTAACCGTAGGCCAATATAGGGATAGAGACTACCGGACTCTCGGTGCGATGCCGACCCAAGAACCCCCTTTCATGGCGCCACTGAAATCGTTAGTTGCGACCTCCGCCTTCTGGGGCGTCTTGGATGTCGCTTGGAACGAGAAGTGGCGCAGAATGTGGCTCAGAACCACCTTCGCCTCCATCAGCGCGAACCTGTTGCCTGGGAAGGAAAGGAGAAGTTTTAAAGCATTTGGGATATTAATATTAGGAATTCACCACCACCACCACCACCACCATCAGACATTCGCCAACGAATATATCCAAATTAGAATCAACTACTTCCAGAATTAAAAGAAATGTGACTAAATCTTATTGATCCTACTAAACATAAAAGAATCGCAATAATTATACTTTATTCTAATCAAACTTCACAATAATTCTACTGGCGTAAAAGTCACATTTTAAAATGTGTGTATTTCATAATGTTAATTTAATAAATATTTTAATAAAAAAGTAAATCGCTTAATGATTACAGGCCAGGCTTGATATATAAACTTCTTGAATATTTCTTGTTTACAAATGTCTAAAAAGTAATACCTGGAACACTCCAACAACCCCAAAATAATATTAGATATTATCCTCCAAATTATATCATCCGCAATCACGAAGCACACAAAAAAATGAAATTCCCACATAAAAATACTAACTGAAATCATATCTCTAAAAAAATCCATGAACTCCACCAAGAATACATAGAACAAGAATCAAGAATACAAGAAAACAAGAATACAACAATACAAGAATACATAGAACATACACCAAGAACTTAAGTATAACATATAATTCATCACATATTCATCATACCTTCGTTTTTTTGGCTTAATGCTTAGTAGAAGTTTTAATAATTGTCCGTAATTTATTAATATAATCTCGTTAATAATTAATAATTGTAATAATCATTTTTACTTTCTCGCTGCCGTTACCGCGGTATAGAGACAGTTTTATAATGCTGCGCGAAAAAACGGCGAATTTTCGGCAGAAAAACTCTTCTTACAGGGTCCTAGAAACGAACAAGGGGATAAATTCAATTCCTTAATTTGAAAAAACATCATCTAACACGTTGAGTAGCCAGAATCCATATTATATGGGTCCTTGATATCATAAAATTGACGGCAAAACTTCTGTCCGCGCGTCCCTCTGTGAACAACGCTAGCGGGTAAACAATCAATTTTCTGCAAAATGGATTTTCCCCAATGGATCTGACTGATAACGCGGGTCCTTGAATGTAAAACCGATTTTTTAATTTGACGGTTACTTTACAAGAAACCCCTGGAATATTTTCAAAATTTTCAAAAAAATGGCGTCATCGATTTTGATTAAATTTTGTTGTTGGATAGTCTGAAAGACGTTTAAGTCTCAGGTTGGTTAAAAAAAATAACTTTTCAAAACTTGGAAAAAAATAATTTTTCGGGGACTTCCTACAGCTGAAATATAAAAGGTAAAGAATTTTTCCGTTCATAAAATCTGTTCCTTAAAAATAGATTTTGAAAAAAGATCATTAACAATTTTTCGAAAATGTGAGTATTTTTCGCGTAACTGTGTGTGAAATATAGACAACTTTTAATTTTGTTAAACAATTTTTTCTCAAAAACGGATTCATTGATTTAGATTAAATTTTGTTATTGGATAGTTTGATGGATGTTCAAGAAAATAGTGATGGTTTCATGTTGGTGGATAACTGATTTTTTGAAAATTGAACACATTCAAAATTTGTTTGACTTCTTCCTACAACCACAATTATGAAGATATTTTTTTCTTAATGAAATGTGTTCATCAAAATCAGATCTTCAAATAGTCATCTCAAGCATTCAGTGCAAATATCAAACAATCAATACAAATTTGATGTTTTCACGAATTATCGAAAAACTACTTTAAATAATGCAATAGCTTTTTCATTTCTTACAATACTGTCAACATTTTCAATACTGTATCTAGATATTTATTATTAGGAAATGTCATTGTTTTCTTTTCATTTTAGAACAAAGCACTTTGGTATAGAAAATCATTTTATGTAATGACGAAACGAAATTAACCAGTTTTATATGTTTTCTTGCATATTTCTTCAATTTTGACTAATATATCATGTCTTTACCTTTTTTACGTCCTTTTAATGCATTTTTTTGATTTCATCGTTTTAATATCATTTTAATGGTACTTGCATCAAACAATATTTACGAGGTTCAACAATGCTCACTACAGAATTCCTGAGTAGCATACTGGATTTTTTCGCTCATATATTGTAATGTCAGCCGTTGTGACTACTACAAAATATATGTATTTGCTTTTAGCTGACGTTTTGTCTCGCCGAGACAAAATATCAGCTAAAAGCAAATATATATTTATTTTGTTCTAAAAAAAAGCATCTGAGTAAACTTCAATTCATCTCGTAATACAAGATACCCAATACAAGGAATTTTGATTGTTGTTTGCTTGAATGGCCTTAATGATAGCTATTCTTACCTATGCAAATACGAGGTCCAACTCCAAATGGCATATACGTGAAGGGAATAATTTTGTGCTTGTTTTCCTCGCTGAAACGTTCTGGAATGAACTTCTCGGGGTCATCCCAGTACTTAGGATCCAAATGAAGAGGAGTTACAACTATTCGGATGGATTCGCCTTTTCGCACAGTGTAGGCAGGAACATTTTCTTGTGCAGGGATGGTGAAATCCTTGGTGCACACCCGATCCAAGGTAGGAGCTTGGAAGTACAATCGGAGAACCTCTGGGAAAAAAGATGAATGTCATCTACAAGTAAAGAAGTGTAAAAATTTACGAAAAGAATAGAATGTTTTTGAAAGGCTCAGTATAAAACGTATTTGGAGGGATGCTTTTCAGATCATTTATTGAATTGGCCGAAGATAAACTTATTGGAGACTTGTTAACTTATTAAGAGCCAGTATCAAAATTTTAATCTAGAATATTAACAGATATTATGCATATATGCAACAACCGGCAGGCGTTCGAAGTTTAAAAAAAATTAATAAGACTTCCGTAGACGGTGCAATTGAGTAGTTTTCTTAACATTTGACTACTTTTTCTACATTTTCGGTCCCATCTGTTGTAATTTTGCTCATAATACTTGAGATTTTTCACAACTGGCTAAAGTAACCTTCGTAAACAATATTATACACTTTCAAATATTTTGGTTTGGATTCTTCAATAGCGACCGAATGCACCAAAAATGTAAGAAAATTGATCTTAAACACTACAACTAAAGTATTATTATTTGTAAACCTCAATGACGAATGCTACTTGTTTCTGTTATAAACACGAAAATTCTGAATGTGTACCAAAGATTTTCTTCGAAACATGTTTAGATCATTGACGGGATTAAAGAGGGTTTCAAGACATATCCGTCTTCTGTAAGTTTGAAGCACTTACTTTGATGAATGCTCATCATTCCGAAGATAATTATGTGCGAATTGGTTCAATTGCTGACTTACAACACCAACTTGTCGCGAAAATGTGCATCGAGGAAAGCCTCGTTTTGTTATAACTGAAGTAACGTATAGTAACTCAGTTCAAAAGCGCAAACTATAAAAATATTTTTTTAAACACTGCATGTTTTGAGTAGTTATGTTTCATTTGACAGATGTATTGTTTCGCCGAAGTATTTACCCCTGCGTAAAAATGATACGGGAAACTAGTAAGGACTTCACAAAATGATTTAGACAACTGATGTTGTGATAGTGATGTTTCACTAGACAATGTTTTACTAGTCTGCTTGTCCCAGACGGTATTTACCACTGATGAACATGTCCAAGTACTGGGCTCCCTGCACGGCCTCGTACGTGAGCTTTCCGTCGTTCTTCTCGAAGGTTTCGTCCACCTCCCGCTGCAAGCGCTGCTGCACCTCCGGGTGACGGGCCAGGGCGTAGGCGCAGTAGCTCATGGCGGTGGACACGGTGTCGAAGCCGGCGAAGAAGAAGATGACGGCTTGCGCCGTCATGTCGAGATCCGTCAGCTCTGGCCAACAGAAAGAGGTCCTTAGCTCTCCAGTCCAGTTCACTCTAGTCTGCTACTCGAATGGTGCAAACTCACTCTTCAGCTTAGCGCCGGAGATGTTCTCCTGCTCGTCTCCAGCTTCCGCCTTGAGCTGTCCTTCGCGCGCCTGCATGAGCAGCTGCAGCATGTCGGGACGGAAGATGCCCTTCTGCTGGCGCTCCTTGATGGTGTCGTGGACGAGATTGTGGAAGAAATTCCTCACTTTTTGGCTCAGGAAAGGAATTCGCAAAAACTGAAACATGAGGTTGAATTCTTCGGAATACACAGATAGAAATGTTTAGTTCATACAATTAATCACCTAGTGGATTAAACTATACGGAATAGTAAATTTTGGAAGAACAAAATGCTTAATCACGTACACAAAACTGCTGCTTAGTTAAACGCACTAATGCACGTTTAGTAATGTTCGCAAAACAGGTCGTATCCACGACCACCTTTCGGTACTGAAGGTGCCATGCCTTATCCCATAACGAATGACATCTTCTGGAGATAACTAAACCAATCTTTATGTTGACTAATACGTCGAGTAATATTTACTAAACACATTGCACAAAAAACTAAAATCTGTATTGGAATATTTTAAATCGTCGAAAACTGGCGACAAATGCTGAAAGAAAGTGACTCGTGGGCTATACTTACATTACTTAGTGTAAATTAATAAGACCGATCGTCAATAAATACTTATAATACGCAAGTATTCTCCAAATTTTACCTCCATTAATTTTGGTAGGAACACGTATCCTAGAAAAATAAGACCCTTAATTCCATCGGTTTTGGTCAGGTCTCGCCCCATGAGGTAGAACTCGTTTTTAGGTTCTGCTAAAGAGTCCACCTGAATTCCAAAGGCGCTAGTGGCAATGACGTCATTGGCGAATCGTGCGAAGAATTGCTTCATCTCCGCCTCGTATACCTTATCTAGAAACAAAAATTATTAATGAAATGTGTATGTACACAGAATTGTTTTACATTTTGATAGATCAATGCACACGATTTGGAAAACGGATGGACATACGCACCTTTCTTTGTTTCGAATTGTTTCTTCAAAAATTCATTCATCTGAATACCGCAGAGGTCTATGAGCTTGAAAATATTTCGCATCTTGCTGGAAGTGAAGGCAGGACTTAGAGTGGCACGCATATCTCGCCAATCCTGACCTGCGGAGAAGAAACGGTGATTTGCATTTAATGTAAATATATTTTCAATATCACTAGAATCTTGAGCTTTTAACTAACGTATTCCATGAGATTATGGGTTTAAGCTACACTTTTAATCAGTTTCCAATAAGGTTGTAATTATTATTATTTAATAAATCAAGTTTTTAAACCTGTTGGAGTATATTATGGAGAAATATTCGATAATAATTACCTTTTAGGGAAAATAGATTCTTTGCGAACAGAGGTTCAACTTTTTCTGATCCAATCGGCTGATGATCGACGAAGTGGTCGAATTCTTTGATCGAAACCAACCTGATAAGTTCCGGATCTCTGATATATAATGTGGGTTTCATGAACTCAAAGGTGCCGAACACTTTGTAACCTTCAAACTTCTTGTAAAGGTTTACGGTGAAGACATTGACGGACTGCCAACCAAGAGCAACGGAAGCCATGTTCCCGAATAAGGGCAGAGGGCGCTCGTAGGGAATCCCTCGGCGTCGGAAGTGGTCGTGTGTCCACGTGGTCAGCCAGTACAAGAGGGCGCCCAGACTCCCTACGAGGACCGCCCAGTCCACCCACGTGGCCCTCGCCACGACGCTGCCCACACCAGCAATCCAGCCCAGCATCATGAAATGCTTCTAAAAATAAACAAAAAAAAAATCCTTGCCATGATGATCACGGCCATCAAACAAATGAAATGAACTTGGTAGGTCTTTGCTGTATGTCTTTTGTCAACATGGGACGTTTAAATTAAGTCCTTTTTTGCTTCACGTAACTTTCGTCTCGTACATTGATACTTAGAGCATAACGTCAAATATTGATTGAGCTTGTTTAATTCTGAAAAGATTTTGTCATGATTCAGATCGAACTTTAAGGAACGACAGATACTCCTGTGTACTGTGTAGGAATGACCATTATTGTGCAATGGGTCATTGTTGATAATAATGACTATAGTGAATTATTGTGGAATAATGGAATTAAAAGCAAGGGGAACAGGAAATTCCTGAGAAATTCCGCTTTGAAGCCACTACAAAATCTGTATGGAGCGATGTGGTTTTTAACACCGCCGTGCTACATGAAACCGTACCACTGTATGTACTTGTAATGCCGTGTCCTGGCTACTTAATTTATTCTGGCTCTACTGCGCCGGGATTTCCATGCGGAAGTGGGGGAGAGGATGTAGAGTACTGACCCAAGGGTGGTTTAGCGAGGCGTGTTGCAAAAGCAGGCGTGAAGCAATATTATCCTTAAGGAAGTTCGAAAGAGTGGGAACTGTTGAAGCGAGAAATAGTTATTTATTACGTAAGCAGTATTTTAAGAATATATCAGACCAAATCTATTTGCGAAGTTATAATGTACGAGTATCTGCATAGTAAAATAAATGCATGTAATGTAATTTCAGCAGACGCGTGGGTCCAATATTTTTCACGGGCGCTCGCAATAGCGGACATTGAAACAGGGACAAATATTTTCACTGATCGGAGTGTGTCTGAATTAGACGAACCTATAATGTGGAATGAAGTGAATAGGGGTCTTTTAGCCACGAATAGTAAGAACGCAGGCGGCGCGGATGGCATTCCGACAAAATTTATTTCGGATTATTATGTAACTTAGATCCAGAGAGTATTCTGAATTTGTTTAATAGCATTGTTGATTCCTGATCGCAATCGGAAACGTGGAGTACAGCTATCCTCCAACTGGTTTTTAAGAATTACGGTGATGCGAACTACCCAGGAAATTATCGTGGCATAAGTCTTTTACCAGCGCTAAGTATTTTTTTCTGTAATATCTTCAAAGGGCGACTGGGTGAATGGGCGAAAAAATACAGCAAAATTTCAAAATTGCAGGCAGGCTTTCGGAAAGGCTTCGCGACCACCGACAATACCTTTCTCCTAGATACACTAGTAAAACAGGCGCTTTCAGGTAAACAGCCATTTATACTGTAGTTTTGTGGATTTCGAAATGAATCAATAGGGACTTTTGATTTAATCAGTAGGGAAGCTTCACGGCGAAAACTAAATAATTTAGGCGTTTCACGTAAAGTTTCAAATGTGTTACAGAGCAGGTCCAGAGAAGTAAATGTCTGTGTGAGGTGCGGCGACTGAAGTACAACGCGAAAAATACAATCGACAGTAGGAGTACGACAGTGTTGCCCTCTATCACCGCTATTTTTTATCTTGTTTATTAACGATTTAATGTCTTGGGTACAGGAAGAGGAGACAGATGCGCCGGAAACTGATGGCCTGAAAATTACTGTATGCTGATGATTTTATTCTACGTTAGGAAACTATTGAGGGTTTACAGAGAGGTTTAATCATTCTAAAAAGGTCTAGTGAGACATGAGAACTAAAAATAAATATCCAAAAACCGAAAATTGTTGTCTTCAAGAATTGCCTTATTTGGAGTAAAAAAGTGAAGTGGTGTTATGCGCAAGATGAAATCGACCGTGTCAAAACGTTTACATACCTTGGTGCAAAACTTTCCATGAATGGGGGTGGAACAGTCACATAGTGACGGCGCAAAGTAAAGAAATACTTGCGATCAATTCCTTTGCACAGTACGAATAGTAACGGAATTGTCTTTAAAGGTGTACAAAACAATGATTAAATCGCTCTCCCAGCTATGAATTATGGGGCGGAAATCTGGAGAATAGATAGGATAGATCGACTAGAAAGCATCGGAACAAATTATTACAAATTCTTGGAGTCTCTAGATTTGCTGCAAATGCCGCGGTCTAAAGAGAGGTCGGTAGTGTACGAATATGGAAAGATTTTAAAATGAAATCCATTCAACTTTGGATTAGATTAGCAGCTGAACAGGCCGACACACTTATACATAGGTGCTTTAGAGCGCAGTTACAGGGGAAGCGACCAACGCTACTGGTCGTACAAAACCAAACTTTTACTTGAATGCGCAGGTCTCGGAGAGGTTTCACCGGAGACGGCGGGGGATAAGGGAGCACGTGAGATAGAACGGCTTATCTCTGGTAGACTTGAAGATATTAAATGCCAGATGACATTTAACAATTGAAGTCGGTTCACAAATTTAAGTTAAAAGTAAATTTTTTTTGCTGCATAACTGTTTCTACACAATTATAGACTATACTGACTATCAAAAAGAAAAATAATGTTTATTTTAACAAAACAGTGATATATGATGAATTAGTTTACATTTGTATTGTTTAATTGTTTTAGAAGACTTCATATGTTTGTAACAAATAATATACTTCAACTTCCGGGACAATGACCCCCATCTTGATCAGGTTTTTGTTCAGTTTCCCTGATCTATTGAGCAAATGCTGAGGTGGCCCCTTGTTTTGCTTCTGGACGTAAATGTAGCTTCACTACGCGCACATTTTGTTGAACTCTCCTTTTGCTTGTAATGGTAGGAGTAGAGGTAAGGGCGAGTTGCAATTTTGTTAGCAATGCAGAAAAATCATACTCGCAATTCGTGCACCGATGCAAATAGGTTTTCTATAACTCAGAAACGAAAATGAATATTTTTCAAATATTGCTATTCTTGCTATTTTTAAAATTTATTTTTATTTATGTAAAACTTTTACTCATCTTTCAACTATTTATAGTTAAAATGACGGGAAGGGATTCTGGAACTCAAGAAAAGTGTGCAGATAATCTTTTCCCCCTACGTCACATACAGTTTTTACTGTTTTTTTACTGAATAAATCTAATCTAAAGATACCCTGGCAGCAAGGCCGAAAAACGTTTGCTTGTTGCACAAGTCCGGTATGCGAAAGGTACATTCACACACTTAGAAGGGACGCAAGAGATACGTTTGGTTCGGGGTCGGGGGGTGGATGCATCGAATATTGATGGTAATTGAGGCTGTGCTTATGGTAATCGAGTCTGTGCTTTGCGGCGATACAGAAGATTGAAACCACATCCTTTTAAATTGCTATGTGACTGAAACATGGAAAGGAATATGGATGAGAATGGGAAACTATTATGTACAACTTAGAAACGTAACGCTCGTTCATAACATATTATGTGATAAAGGTTTCACTTCATGAAAGACTTCTAGGAACATTTCTAGGAAAGGTTCGGACCATTAGGGAAAGGCAAATTAGGGAGTGGGAAAACAGGACGGGTTAATATGAGCGGAGCCTAGACAGGAACGGAAATAAATAAGATAAGCAAACAATGAATAATTTAATCAGTAATTTAAGTTAAGTTTGTAAGTTGTTATGTAAGCCGTAAGTCAAAGTCAACTGTTCAGTAATAAGAAAATAAAAAAAAAAAATTAAAAAAATAAAAATGTCAAATAATTAAATAAGCCTATTAAGGGACAAAGAGGAGTGGGTGGTCCCAAAGTAAGGGCAGAGGCGTTGGTGCGGACGATTTGCTGTGACGTTGTTTGATTTCAGGTGCTGAGTATGCAAAAGATTGGAATTTTGGAATGCGTGACATCCGGGACAGGAATTAAATAAATAGTTTAGAAAACGTCTGGTAGATTAGCATGTACTCGTCTTCGGACGGCAGGTTTTCCTCCTTCAGGTTTTCCTCTTTCAAGGTCTCTTTTCCGAGGCTTTGTTGCGATGGAGAGACCATTTGCGGTGAATACCAGAATTCAAAAAATTACAACACTGTAGGATGTAGGTATTGTAATGGCTTAAAGACTTTCGGCCTAGCCACATGGTACTAAGTTATTTAATTTATGGGTGATAATGAACTATTAAATAAAAAAAATACACTGACTTGTGATGTGAATTTTACGTAGCCGCCAGAGGAGCAAGCTCTTTGATC